ACAGGGAGCTCCTGCTTATTTAGGGGAAGTCTGGGAGAGATTCAAAATTCCTTTTTAGTCAAGTTTGAGGAGTATAAGGCATCCGAAGGGTGCTGTTAAGTAAGAACCTCACCTTAAAACTAGTTGGAAAATAGAGACTTGGTGGTTGTTCGAATGTTAGAATACAAGGTGTAAGTTAATCAGAGATGACTACCTACAATTTTTCAGTTCCTTTCAGAGAAGGAACTGCATAATGGGAATAAATAAAGACAATTAGTGAGAGGTGACAATTAGTGAGAATAGAAGACAATTAGTGAGAATAGAAGAGGACCCAAGTCATAATCCCAAGAAAGATGAGGCAGAAGGGAGATAGTGAGACATAGAGAATAGAGGTCATAGAAGCCATGGGAAAGGATGCTTCAAGGAGTTGTAATCTTTTGCAAGGAAGCTTGGAAGTGCCTCTTGATAGTGCATCTGATTAATAAGTCTTTAGGTTTTATTTTTGCACTTTGGTATTCAAAGAGTAAAACTGAGAGATTATTACCTGAAATAGAATTAGGGCTCTACTCCTACAGTGAATAGACCAAAATTGGAATGATTCTGCCCTAAATGACTTCAGACAGTAACAGGTAGACAGAAATTATAATTCTAAATCACACAGTGAGTACACTGTATGTCAGGAGTGTGCTGTGAATGTGTTGGAGAAAGGACTGCTTTCTTCATTTTAAAGTTACTATCCCTAGAGAACCAAACCTGCCCTGCCAGGTACTGTGTTTTCTGTTCTCAGAGGGGCAACCTGGAGAAGGAGAAAAAGAGTAAAATTTGGTGAAGGGGCTCAGAAGACAGGATGGGGAAGGTAGGCCTTTAAGACTCAATAACTGTTCACAATTAGCAGAACCCTGGCAGGCACAAAAGTTCCCATGTGTCTGTTGACTCTGAAAGTACTCATTGAATGAATTTTGAAATTATATTTCTAATTTAATTCCTTTGGTACATGTCATAGATTTATGATGTTAAAGAATGTGCACAGGTTTTATGAACCATATTCTTCCAGGAATGATGTGGCTTGAGACAATGTCTTTGAAAGCTGAATTGCATCTTCTAAGGTTGCATGTATTTGGAAACTGCCGGAAATTTCTGGCAGCTTTACAGAATTTCTGAAATTTAAATCTGTACTTCACAAACTAATGAACATTTAACACAGTACTAAAAAAAATAGGAATGCACCGTGCTTTGTCCTGCAGAACTACTCTGTCCAGAAGTCACACTTCTGGAGGAAATGCAAGAGACTTATTTCTTCTTTGTTAAAATGCTTCACATGTTAGTTGATACCACTGTGTCAAGAAATGGACTTTTTTTTATGTTGCTCAGATTAAACACAGGGCCTCAGTTTATGTTAGGTACAGGCGCTACCACTTGAGCTATGCCAGCCCCGCTTCCTTTTAAAAATTTTATTTTGTTTTTAGGATAGGCTCTCACTAACTTTGACCTGGCTAACCTAGAACTTGTGATCCCTTTGCCTCCTCCTCCCAAGTAGCTGGGATTACAACTGTAACCCACTATGCCTGGCTCAAGAAATGGATTCATTTTAAAAGAAAGCTAATACAATCTAAGTTAATAACTGAGCATTACTCTAGGAAGTGAATTCCATATGACTCACATGTGATTCACTCTTCTTCCTGTATTTTAATGTTCAATACCTTCATTTATCTGCCCATTGACTTAGCAAATATGAACACTTGTACAAACACTATTGTGTTGGTGAAAGGAAAACCAGATGCCATCTGCCCTTGAAGAGTTAACATCTGAACAAAAAGGGAGAAGAAATAAGCAATAACAATGGAATGTGCCAGGGTAATTTACACATTAATTAAGGGCAGATTTGGGTACAAGTGAACCAGATTTGGGCAAAGACTGTTCCAAATCATGAAGAATCAGTTGAGAATGTGGGAGAGTTTTTTTCCTCACTTTATTTACTGTTCCCTCACCAGAACTTTCTCCCAAATGTCAAGCCATTTATCCTTTAAAATTACAACCTAGATTTGACATTTAATAAAAAAAATAGGTATATGAAACATTGAGGATGAAGAGAAGGAAAAAAACACAGAAAATACAAACAGCATAAAAATAGTCAAATTTTAAAAATGTAGAGTGCTTATTCTTATGATAACTATATATTTAGTCCAGTGAAGTAGTTCACTTTTGCTTTAACCTAGCTTAGATTTCTTATCTCCTAGCTCTTTTTGGGGAAAGGAATACTTATTTCTACCATGGGGAAGCAAGGTTCTGGGTCATTGACTGTTACCAAGAAAGAATGGGAAGACATCTTACTCTGTGTGTGTGTGTGTGTGTGTGTGTGTGTATCCTAGGAAAATTGGAGAACTTTCAACATCTAATTGGCCACATTGAGGTATGAAGCAAAATAAATTATCTCAAGCTTACTCCATTGAGTAATGTTTCAGCTGACACTGATTGTGTGGTATAGAGCCTTAATTTTGGAATGCATACACACATCCATACACAGACACAATGAGAAGAGACACTAATACTAAAAGCAAATTTTCAACCTTGAGTAATTGATATACGTAGAGGTATTTGTTCAACTGCAGACTCAAATCCCTGCCCTATTAATCTAAAGCAGTTCCTTAAAGTTTACTGAATGACTCCTTCAATGGACTTTGATCTATATAATCTGTTTGTAGGAATTATGGGCCTAGCTCTTCTTTTTATTCTTTCTTTCCTATCACTTCCATGTGTGTTCCTTTTCTTTAAAAAGTTGTCTTTTATTTTCATTCTTTTCCTTGTCTTTCTCTTCTGACACTGCCTTAGAGGTGACAGGAGACAGTAGGACCTGTGGGGTTATAGCTGAGGAAGTGGTCAGGATCAATGAGTTTGACTGGGCCTGTGAAACCAAGGTCAAGTATATACGCAGACAACCAGGAACTATGGAGAAGGGCAAAGAAATAGCATGAAAACATGTGGGGTCTTTAGGGATGGGGCCTACACCAAGGAGGCAACTGGGTCAAAAGTATGTTCTGCAGAACTGAGAAATTAGTAGCATATAGAATGAATGAACAAATCTATGTTGAGGATGATGGGAGCCAAGTCTCCTCTTTTAAAGGAAATCTGTAGGTAGGGGATAAAATGAACCCTGATGTGTTGAGATAGACTTAGAGCTACAAGAGTAAGTTCATGTTTGTTATAGGTAGATAGATGAGTAGATAGACAGATGGATAGATAGATAGATAGATAGATAGATAGATCGATAGATAGATAGATAGATAGATAGATAGATAGATAGATCTAGATCTGGTATGTGTGTATAATTCCTAACTGTTTCTACTAAGATAAGCAGTGCCACCCAGGAAGTAATGAGTGTAACCATACTCAGATCTTGGTTTCTAAAAAGCATTTTTCGCTAAAGAAGTATTCCTTAGAGCAATGAGTAATTCAAGACTGGCACAGAAGATGTACAAGATAAATCTAGAATATCTTGTGCCAGAAAGTGAGGAACTAGGCAAATAATGATGGAGACTTGTCAAAATGACACATGTAGTAACATTTAGGAGCTCCTACTGGCTCAGTCTGAGATAACATGAGCATCAAAATAAATGATATAATGTACTATATAAACCATTGATTAAAATGGATATCAATAAATCTATACCAACACAGATCCATGTAAAAGACAGGAACTTCCCTAACAGTAGAATGCTAGTTACTAAATGTATATAATGATGAAATTAGAAAATTACCATCTAGTAGCTATCATTGCAATACTTGAGTGAGACAGAAATCATCAATGAATGCTGAATCTTATGTGCAAATCAATGAATAGTAAATCTTGTGTAAGCAACAGATAGAGCTACTCCTGGGTATTGAACCCAGGGATTACTGCATGCTAGCCATATGCTCTATCACTGATCTAGTCTATACTCACAGTCCAAAATTTACATGGTTTCAAAACATCTCACATGTGGGAAGATTAGTAAATATGCAGAAACCTAGGAGGTATTACCTTAACCAATTGATCAATATTTTCTGTCTCTTGACGTGGTACACAGGGCATCATTGGTAGGGAAAATCTCAAGTGAAATATACTCTACAAAATAATTGACCCTTACTCATCAAAAATACCAATGTCAGTAAAAAACAAGGAAAGACTGAGCAAATGACCTACAGTGAAGACTAAAGAGACATGACATCAAACTGGAACACATGACCCTGGATAAAATCTATGACTCTAGATAAAAATCAGACTGAAAGATAAAAAGTACTTTTTAAATAAAGATTGAGATTATTAGGACAATTTGTAAAATGGGCATGAGGTGTTAGGTTTAAATAATAGAATGCTATCCATGTTAAATTCTTAATTTTGTTGAATATATAGTACCATGTCTGCAAATTACACTAAAGTAGTTCAGTAGGGGACACATATAGATAATATCTATCACATATACACACATATATTATGAAAAATGCAGTCAGATATTAACAACTGAGGAACTTGGGAATTCTTTTTTACTATTGTTATAACCCTGTCTGTAAAAATATTCAAAATAGGTAGCAAATAACCATCTATTACTCATTTTAAATGCACTGAAATAAAATTTCCTCGATAGAATTAATAAATAAAATTATAAAATACAAATATTTCAAAGTAAAAAACAATGAAAATATAAAACTAAAAAGTCACCAGCGTAATTTATACTTCAATGTTTTGTCATGCTACAAGCATTATACTGTTCTCAAGGTAAAAGTATATCATCAAGAGATGATATAATTCCTTTCATCTTATGTTTGGATTAATGCCTAATTGGGAAAGATATCAAAAAAAATGCAAGTTTTGCAAGTGTGCCTAATCCATAACATTTGTAAAAATTAATATCAGAAAAATTCTTAGGGAAAAATGTTCTCTTTATTCTCTTAAACTGATATTCAGAATCAGAAAATTTTAGTTTTTTCTAAAGGAATTAACAATATAAGTCAATTTGCTCACTCTTTCTTTCTCTCTTGGCTAGGTTTCATATGTCAAAGCTATTGACATTTGGATGGCCGTATGCCTCCTTTTTGTGTTTTCAGCACTTCTGGAGTATGCAGCTGTCAATTTTGTATCAAGACAGCACAAAGAACTTCTGCGATTTCGACGAAAGAGAAAGAACAAGGTAAATGATGAAAGATATTGGACATGGTATGTCAATTTTTGATGGAGAATGAATTTGTTGTGTTTACAGGAAGGATATTGGGACTGAGGACTAAATGATACAATATTTGTTTTCATCCAGTTCAAAGATTCACAGAGAAAATGGTGATACCTAGCTATGCTTAAAATAGCATATATGGTAATATGAGGGATTTATCAACTTCTTTAATATACGTGTAGAAAAAAACATTCTTTTGCTTCAATTAATGACATATGTCATCCATTATTTGCAAATTAGAGTGTTCGTAATAGTTTTACTTGATGTGTCACAAATGTAATTATTATTAAAGTTCCTTTTTTCCGAGCTAATTTCTTTGTTTCTATAAAATGTTATCTATTTACTAATACCGTGATAATAAGTATATAAAAAATGTTGGTTCTTGCCCATGCATGTTTTCATGTTCTTAACATACTTGTTCTAAAACTCCATGGAAAATACAATAAAGTGCTATTGTTATCTTGCTATCATCTAATAAAAATTAACCCACAAGAAAATTTATTTAGAACATCATTATAAAACCATGGAAGTTGTATAAGTAATCTCCTATCTGAATTTGGATGACCAAAACAAGGTTGTTCCCTTCTATTCAGACTTGTAATGGCATCTTCTTCTGTAATCACATGGTTTTGAACAATCGGTCTCCTATTTCATAACAGAGAGCTTCTCTTGAAAGCAGATCTGTGAGTTTGCTTCTTCTAATGTGAATGTACCAACTGATATCTTAAAAGAAAATAGTCTTTCAAAGCAATATGACAAAGTTATATATAATTATATAAAGTTATATATACTCTAATATACTAGAGTATTTAAGTTAAAACATAAATCTTAAAATAGTGGTCTGGTTTATGTAGTGTGAATTTTTAAGGAATTCTAAAAGTTTGACTACTTATATATTTCAAGTCTTTTTAAAAGCATTAATCTTTGATCTCTCAGTGTTTGAGTCTATTTAGCATTAAATATATTTTAAAGCAATAATTTAGTAATTTCTAATTGGCCTTCCAAAAAATTATCACTTCTCCAATGAATACCGTCAAACTGCTGCATGGAAAGAACAGCAGCTTTAGGAAAATGTGTTTTAGATACACTGGACAGAAAAAATGCTGGAGTTCACATTTGATTAAATTTGCATGGAAAAAAGCATATCATTTATATATTAAAATATATTGTGATGAGATTAACTTCTTTTTCTTTCTCTACCTTTCCTCATTCTCTCTCTCTCTCTCTCTCTGTTCTCCCCCTCTCTCCTACCTATTTGATGCCTCTTTCTCTACTGATTCTTGACATTGACTGAAACACCGAAACAAGAAAGATGTGATCACAGGGATGAAGTGCTTGCCTCTCTTTCCCCTACTAGTGACTCAAAGACAATTTATTACAACTAAAGCAACACTCATTTTTCCCTGTCATTATGGTTTGATTTTACATTTTTATCTTCCATTTCATTACTTTCTTCCTCCTCCTTCTTCATTTTAGAATACATCAACCATGTTCTTACAAATGCTAGAAATGAGAAGTATTAGACATAGGGTGTCCAGTGGGGAAAATCTGAGAGATCATAAATGTTTTACATCCACCAGTCACAGTATCCACTGGATAAAGTAACAGACCACAAATTTAAAGGTCAATGCTGTTTCCTCCTTTAAAAAAAAAAATTTCCTTTTTCAGTTTTGCCACATGTAAGACTAAGACGAAAATATTTGATGCCCCTTACTGTAGGTCACAGAAAGATGAAACAATTAATTTTTTCAGTGATTGGTAATCTTGGATTTATCATATTATTTTCTAATCACAACTTGAAATATTCAAGAAGCTAATGTATATAATTTTTTCCTATAATTGATGCAGAAAAAAAGCAAGTTATTTTTAAGTTTGACTCATGCATGGGGTAGATGCCTTTCATATGTGAACCACTATTAATTGATACATATGTATGTTAAAATGGTGAATGTGATTAAAATCAATTTTGCAGTTATATTTAATTATATATGACTTGATTTTTTGGTTTCTCAACCCCTCTTGGTTCACCTTACCTTCCCACAGACAGAAGCTTTTGCATTGGAGAAGTTTTACCGTTTCTCAGACACGGTAAATTGACTTTCTTAACTCTAAATAGGGGAATGTGATCATTAGTAAAAAGCAACAGCTTATTCTGCACTGAGGCAGTGTTTGGTGGGGAAACAGGGCCCCTTTCATATGCATATCCAAGCAAATACCATCTCTTTCCTGTTAATACAAAAACTCTCTTTTTCTAAGACCTCTCCTTATCTTCCCCCACTCAGTAAAAGATTATTTAATTTTTACCCTTCCCTTTACTAAAAACATTTGGTCAGAATGATGTCAAATATATATTATAAGATAAATATATAGACAGTAAAGAGAAATATATAAATATGTACATATAATGACGAAAGATATCATTTAAAGCAATTAAAGAGAAAGAGCATAGATAAAATAATCTCCAAAGAAGAAACAACTATACTTTAACAAATTAGCTTGAAAATAAATGGGAATTTATTTGTACAAGCAATTCTAAAAGCAGCTGTACAAGCAACCTCAGAGTAAGATCATAAAATGCTTTGTGCAGTATATGTACCTTTAGAATCCATTCTTTAGCTGAGATTATTTATAGCAAAAGAACAGTTTGGTTTTGATAGTGGCATCTTTTGAAATTTTCAAATAAAAAACAGATCACAAAGATACACACCCTAGTATAAAGCCTAAATTTTTAGAAAAGAAATCTGAAGTAGAGAGTATTGGTGCATAGGAGGTTTTTCTAAGGACTCATAATATAGCATATAGTAATTAAATTTATCTACTAAAGCCAAGGATTTGTCTGGAAAATCATATAGAAATAGCTTAGTTCACTAAACCAAAACTTCTGGGGTAAATGTATTTATAACACATAAAATATTTTTAAAAATAGGTCCTAAGATGATTCTACTGTACACCCCAGTCAAGATCACTATAAGTGACATAATGTTAAATGAACATTGCAGCTATACCACTTCATAGTGTGTTATCTAGATCCAACACCAATTTTAAAAGACTTGCTAAGTTCTCATAAGATAGTCACTTAACTATGTTCCTTTACTGCTAAAAGTGCATACTATCTCCCAAAATTTAAGCCCCCTCTTTATTTTTTTTCCCTGAAAAATAATTGCACATGCTTTTTCTTTGTTATCTTAACTGTAAATTTTTAATTGCATGAAATTTGCATAATCATATGTAGTGTTTGCAACATATGTTCATACATATACACATACATACATGTACATGTTATACTACATAGTACAGCCTATATATGTATATTAAAAAACCTGTCTCTTTGAAAGACCAACATAATTATATCTCCAGTATCTAGACAGTCAATGTTACAGAAACTATAGAATGAAAGAGATGTGTTTATAATTATGGCTTTACAAAGAACATTGATGAACAGTCAGACTTATCTCATGGATAGTTAATGAATTATTTTTTTAAAAAAGAAGCATTATGGTAATGCAAACAGATTCATTAGAAAGTATGTGAGTTTGATTTATTTTTTAAGTGGTCTAAGCATTGGGCAAATCTGGGGATGATTATTTTAAGTTTTGGGAAATATTTTCCTCAAATTAACAACCTTCTGGACTAACCAAATTCATCATTATTTTAAACTATGTATTTTGCTTAGAAATAATCTGAGCAATCTAAATCTTTAAATCCACATAATCAAACTGAGTATAAATGTTGTCAGTGTGCTCTTTATCTTCATAATACTAATTTATGAGAAATTTCCTCAACATTTAAATTTGACAGAATAAGTAATGTAAGTAAAATTGCCTCATTATGGAATGTTTGTTACAAGGAGACAGCTTACATTAATGCAAATGGTATTCCTAGGAAACTTTTCTTTTTAACTTTGCTCAGCATTAGCTTAATTATTACATACAATCTTCAATACCTTCCTTTTTTCCATTATGATATCAGAGTATCCTTTGTCTATCATAAAAGAATATGAGTTTGCACTTGCATCCAAATTTCCCCACCCCACACTGTCATAGCCTGCTCTGCTGATTACGCATTCTGCCATGCCATGGATGCTATCTCCAGTGCTGTGTATGTCTGGGTGTATGCATGATATGAAAGTATTTTGGTCAGAGTTACTACTCTCACGTATGATATTATTACTTATTCCTGGATATTTATAAGACATTAAAACATTTCTCAACATATGTTATTTATTGAGAGATATGGATGAAATGGAATTGCTTTAATGCATTTCATGGAGCTTCTTTCACATTACAATATAATGCTGCAATGATTTGCTGAAAGAAAACTTATTTGTACGGTACTTCTGTATTCCTGTCTTCTTATTTATTATTATTTATTAATTATTACTTATACATGAAAATGAAGTAGAAATTAGTAATCTATTAGTTCTAGGTTTAAGAATGATCAACTTTATGTTTTGCTAGGCACAATGGCTATCTTTTTAAAATAGTATCATTGAATTGTATTTTGACAATCTATACAGAAGCTTGTGATTACTTCATTGTGAATTTAGATGCTGTCTTGCTTTAAAAATAACTCAAGGTAACTTTTAAGGACAATAAATAATTGATTTTTCAATCCTGTACATTTTGTCAGCTCTGAAGTCTTAGGACAAGTACAAAATATACATATTCACTATATTGACTGAAGGAATGAAGCTTCATAGTTGAAAACAATATGTATGGCATCTATATACACTAAAATTATTTAATAATAAATCCTTTCTAGGTTAGTTTATGCCATATTCTAAAGTTAAGATATTACTTTAACAAATAAAATATTTCCTACAAATCACAATACATGCCTGAAGAAAAGTAGTTTTCAATAGTTCAAACTCAAACAAAATTCTACACAAATGACTCATATCAGGGGTTGAAATTTTATCTTCTGAAGTAAAATAAAGATTGTAAGATTTTAATTATTTCTTGAAAACAACTATTTAGAGTTTATATTAACAGAGCTATCCCTTTGAGCTACATAGCCTCTGAAATATCTGTTCAAAAAATGCAATAGAATAATACAGTCTTTAATCTAAATTCAAATACATTATGGTGATTTCAATCTCAATACTAATCAAAATAGCCAGGCTTGGTGGTGCACACCTGTAACTCTAGTACTAGGAAGGGAGAGACAAGAGGACTGTGAGTTTGGAGCCAGCCTGAGCTATAATAGAGAGATCCTGCTACATAAAAAACAAAAATAATAGCAAAAAAAAAAAGGTAGCCAAAATAAAAAAGCCACTGTTTTACATCTGCCATCTGTTATAACATTTATAGTCCTCCATAATTATGAGTTATTGTTGAAAGAATCCAACATATTGTGCTAAAAATAAATATATCAATGTTAAAATATTCTATTGATTCTTCACCTATCTTTTAAAATATTTCACAATATTTCATCTAAAATACTCATCTTTAAAAACTTACTTTTACTGCTTATTAATCTCCAAACAATTTATGAATCTAAGTTCAATATCTGCAGCATAAACTTTAACACTTTGGCTAATTCAGATATCACCTATAGTAGATGCAAAATTCCCCTGGAGCTAGATTTCAAAGAATTTTATATTAAAATTGACTTGCACTATAAAATTGTTTGTTTTTTTTTAATTTTATTATTCATATGTGCATACAAAGCTTGGGTCATTTCTCCCCCCTGCCCCCACCCCCTCCCTTGCCACCCACTCCGCCCCCTCCCTCTCCCCCCCACCCCCTCAATACCCAGCAGAAACTATTTTGCCCTTATTTCTAATTTTGTTGTAGAGAGAGTATAAGCAATAATAGGAAGGAACAAGGGTTTTTGCTGGTTGAGATAAGGATAGCTATACAGGGTATTGACTCACATTGATTTCCTGTGCGTGTGTGTTGCCTTCTAGGTTAATTCTTTTTGATCTAACCTTTTTTCTAGTTCCTGGTCCCCTTTTCCTATTGGCCTCAGTTACTTTTAAGGTATCTGCTTTAGTTTCTCTGCGTTAAGGGCAACAAATGTTAGCTAGTTTTTTAGGTGTCTTACCTATCCTCACCCCTCCCTTGTGTGCTCTCGCTTTTATCTTTAATCTCATCTATAATTGCATTCTGTTAAACCTTCCTTTTTCAATGGCATTGAAATGTGTATAGATATATGAAACTGAGTATTTTATTTTAGACTATTTTGAAAAAATTTTAAATTCATTTGTATCTTTCATCTGAACTTAGACTTTTCTAAATAATGATAATTTTAAACCAAAAATGGCTATTGTTATACTTACTAATAATTTTTTTTAAATCATGCACTTTGAAATTATGCAAATGGAAATTAATAACTCAGTTTCCTTCCTCTATTACTTTCCCACTTGGTCATAAAGTTACAGAAAGTTATTTAAACAAGAAGACCTATGGAGAAATGTACTTGCTATTTTAATTATATGAAGAATGCCACCATAGATCCCTACTAAGGGAGAGACATTAAGATGAAAAATGACATATTTAATGCTGTATATATTAACATTATCAAAACTTTATCTTATCTTAGATACTTACTGGTTTTTTTCCACTCAATAGCAATTTTCATGCCTTTACCTCTTTCATACACAAGTAAGTTACCTCTTTCATACACAAGTAAGTTTGTTTTTTGCTTTTTGTTTTCCTTTTTATTTATTTATTATTTTTTGAAGGAGTGGTCATTTTCAAAGACTAAGAACAATAGGAAAGTTGTTCTTATCTCACATGTATGTTAATACATCATTTTGATGACAGAGACAAAACAACTCATCTCTATGAATGACTTTATCCTTCTATTTCTATCTAACATTTCTGGTTATAATGTATATTTGTATGAATCAGTCTTTGACATAATTCTGTAAAACAAAAAGAAAGTTTCACAATGTAGTATTAATGCAAAATTACTGAAGCTTTTTTTCTCAGTTCCTAATTTAAAAATTAAAAAAATCTTCCTGTAAAAAAGAATTATATAAGAACCAAATGTCTTTTTACATTTTCATTGTCTATCAGTCTAACTTGCTTGGGGCATAAAAAGAGGGTACACCTGAGGTAAATTAAGTTATGTCTTTAATTTTA